TGATCGGAGGGGCGGGGGGTTGGGGCTAGGGGGGGGGCAACCCTCGGTCAGCGATCGCTGTCGGTCATTTTCACCGGTTGCGATCATCCGTGTTGTTCGGTGCATCGAAAGTTTCTAACGAAATTGTGCACCCTTGTCCGCGAGGTTTGCTTTAATTTATTGCGGAGATTTCGGAGTTGTGCGGTTGTTAATTAACACGTTCCGTGCCGAGCTTTTTTTACTCGAATCTTCACACTTTGATATTTTACTAAAACTTGATGTATTACGTGCAATTATTAATTCTCGTACACATAACAACGTAACAAAAACTTATCAACGCCCATTCTTGCGGTGGAAATTGATTCGTCGATTCTAAATTTCTTGTAAACAATTTGTTCAGTTCGCTAAGTAAACATGCAAGCGTGTACCATCGATGGTACACGTGGCACGGAACGTGTTAATTTAGCGAATAGTGATTGCTAGACCGCGGGTTTTATGCGATCGCGAGAAAAATGAATAACGTTATTTCCAATCTAGTATTGTTATTAAGAGGAGAAGGACATTTTCATAGAAACTATGTTTTCTATAAGTAAATGAGACAACTTTTATTTTGTACGAAGATCCGCGGTCTGTTAATTATGCTTGTAGAATAGCTCGTCGATGCGGTTTAGCAATTATAAGTCGTAGACATGTAAAATTAATAAGACACGTAAAATAGCACAAAGGGTTACGGTACAATTGGATCATCGTTGTCGCCGTTCGTCGAGAGGTGAAAATGACAGCAGCAGTCGCCGATCGACGTTCGAGGGTTCATGGTGCACGGGTGAACAGATTTCTAGTCATCGTGGGGCGTGTGACATTCATCGAGCGGAACAGATTTAACCCTTTGGGGACGGATCACGGACATCAGCATTAATACTGCTTTCGCTTGGACGGTATCCGAATGATTCTTTCGACGACTCGTTGTGTAAAAAAAAAGAGACAAAAAAAGAAAAGAAAAAGAACATTGTCCTGGGGCATGGGTGTACTGGTGAGATATAAATTTGTTTAACGTGACGAAACAGATAAAGGGTCGAGTAGAAAGTACGAGTAAGAAGAAGAAACGGACGAGAAGAATAGAAATATATAAAGAAGAGAATAGAAATAGAAAGTGTAATGCAGAAAGAAGATGCAAATGCAGAAACGAACGAACTCAGAATCGAAAAAAAACAACAACAGTGTTCGGGGCAGAAACTACCAAAAGAGTAAACGTATGTTTTTATTTCATAGTCGAATTTCAACGAACGTTATTTCATAGTTGCGAATAGAACAACGTTGCGGTTTCTCGTGACGCGCAACGGATTGAAAGAAACGTGCCGCGGGTCTAAGTTTAACGACGCGGCTGCAGACACAACAAAAAGAAAATTTTGTTTATCCAATGGAACACACGTTTACGCGAGTTTGTTCACGAGCGCAATGGTACGCGTTTTCGTGCACGAATTCCCGAGAAAGATCGTGCGGAAGAACGTCGTTCACGGGAGGGACGGGGGCGAGTATGTACAATAAACGTGTGTGGGCGCGTGTATCCGTGTGTGTATGCGTGTATGTGTCTATGTGATAAAGAAGAAAGTTCGTAGAAATAACAAAGAGTTGTATTCACGTTACATTTATGTTTGGGTGCGGCGGGTGAGCCAGCTAAACGCCTACGTTCGTGGTGTCTATCGACTACTTCCGGTCGGCAGGTGTGTCTGTGGCGGAGGGGGTGAGGATCGGGGGTGGTTCCCGAGGGGAGGCTACGTGTAACTCGGTCAGTAAAACGAACGAGAAAGAAGCGAAGAAACGTTCTTCTAATCGACAATTTATGCCGGGGAGACTGGAATCTTAGTTGTCATTGCGATACCTGCAGACGGAAACCATGTCTTCGTATCGGTGTTCGCATGACACCGATTCATAGAAAACTGTAACATGTAATTCACGCAATCAAATCAATTTCTGAATAACGTCGCTCTGTGTAACAAAAGTGTAGCAAAGAAAATCGTTCGACTAAATCTTTCTCTCTTCCTCTCTCTCTCTCTTTCTCTTTCTCTCTTTCTTGGGCAAAGTAGCGTTCCTCTGTGCGACATCAGACAATTTAGCAACTTTCGGTTCCGTCCGCAGAGGGTTAATTAATCGACTGAAAGTCCTTTCGACTTTAAATCGCGACTTCGTTAACGATCAAAGAAATCACTTGAACTGTTAATTATCGCTGTTATGACGTTATGTTTGTTTCTCTGGTAAAAGAAGATCGGGCAATTTAAAATTAAGAGGGACACTAAAGTCTCTCGGCCTTGGTAAGATTCTAAAGAGATTATTATTGTCCATTGAGTCGGTTCGATCGGAATCAACGATCTGAGCTTCAGACGAGAAGAATGATTAACTTTGAGAATCAGTTCGTGCACGCACCTAGTGAGGTGTCGGCTGTCTTCATGAACGGCCATCTCCGAGCTCTTAAACTCGTTCAGCTCCTTCCTAATGGCTGCCTTGTCCTTAGGTGTCAACCGCGTCCATGGTTTGTCGGCCCTTCTGTCGTAGTCGTGGGCCTGCGTGACTTCGATGTAATCGTTGAACCTGATGATCTGTTCAATGAACCAAAGTTTCATCTCTCTCTGTCTTCGAAACAATTCGAGAAGTCGATACTAGAGGTTCTAACTTCGATAAAGGACTTATTTCTGACTCAATAATGATCCCGTACCGTAGACTTCTCTATTTCCGAATGGCAGGGTGTTCAAGTTACCTTCTTTTCCTTGAGCTCTTCGACGGTCGGTCGAAAGCTGAGCTTCCGGAGCAGGTACCGCTTCTTCTCCTCCTTCTGTTTCTTCTCCTCGGCGGGACTTTGTTCTGCAAACGTGTCGCGGTTTATTTGAATCATTGCTATTCCGATTACGCGGCGGGTTTTCTTTTGTCTCCCAGAAGCCAGACTGATTCGCTCATTTCGCGTTTGATCTTGCGAAACTCGGATTTCTGACCGACGGCACAAATCAAAGAATGGCGCTGATTACGTTACAAGTCGACTGTATTGCTTCGTTCCGAACGAACGACGAAATGATGTCGCGAATCATTCGTTTCGTCTCGTCTAGTGCGATGCTAAAAGTAGCCAAAGAAATCGAATCCTCTGACATAATCCATCAATTATTTCTTTTCAATAAAATTCACGGAATTTCGAAGAATCAAAGAAAAGTACAGCAAACGTCATACTTTATTATCCGCGTCTTGAATTTTGTCTTTCATCGTTAAAAAATATTTGACCGTTCGTTTTTCATGAAAAAGGTGCGAATAATATTACGATCTTTTATGCAAGTAAATTGATAACGTACACATTCGTTTGTTAAGAATTTTAGTAATTTCTAAGTTCAACAACGCAGTTCGATAACCCGTTTATTCAGAGATTACAATCACGAGGCAATAAACTGTAGCGTCCTACATTCTCTCCCTTTCCAGAGCGAAACTCGCAAACACTACGGCGAGAGACGCGGTATTTTCCAAGCGGAAAGTACACTTCATGCTTAATGCGTATCGAGACGTTCATGGAAAAGCTAATGTTTCCTTGATCGTCGTCATTTCTTTCGTTCCCCGGCTTTTGTCTCGCGGGCTAATCAGTCTGTTTCTCGAGAGGATCGTGCACGGAGAGAGACGGATCCGGTCCGATCGAAGGAGGAGGAGCTTACTTTTCAAGATATTCCGCTCTTCCAGTTCCTCCTGGGTTGGTCGCATGCTCAGCCGCCTGCAATGACAATGTCGCGAGAATCAGTGCAAGTCTATCGGCGTTAATCCGCTTTTCTCGGGCGGCGAGGGTTTCGAACGGTCAAGGAAGTTTGCCCGATATCCGCGCGGAGGCGAACACAAGTCGATAACGATGGTAACTGTTAGTCCCATGATTACCCATACCCTACAAGCTGAGTCACTTTAACTCTGTTGTCGAACATCCCGAGTATAATTTTTCAATCTTAATCTCCTTTGTCCTTAATCTGGGGCTTCTCAGGATCGAAGAACGCGCGAAAGACGATCTCACGCGATATAAACAAGCAGTCGCTGCGAATCTAGACAGCAGCAAAATGATCCGTGCTTCGCAACCGAACAACTCCCTAATGGCAAGAATTCGCTTTTAACCCTTTCGCTACGGGCGGATTCTCCGTCGCGATACTTCTGCTGAACAGAGCGCTGCGACATCACTGCACGCTACGCGACGGCGATCGTCAGCGGAAGTCGGTACTCCGCGGCGGTCGGCGGAGAACCTAAGCTGTTTGAATTGAATGAATTTTTCGAACGAAAAAGTTTTTCTCCAAAGGGTATTTATAAATAAAGGGTATTACAGGGTATTTTATAACGTCTTAGCATGCGCTCTTTAATTTACAGTATGAGAGGAAATAAAACATTATGCAATATAATGCATCTTATGGAAAGCCACTATATTAGTGGTCCATAGTACCTCAGTGGCACCAAATGGAAAGCCACTATAGTGGTCCGTAGTACCTCAGTGGCACCATATGGAAAGCCACTATAGTGGTCCGTAGTAGCGAAAGGGTTAAGTAGAAACGTTTCATCCTGAATACACGTTTTAGCAACTTTTTTTTAACCAATTAGCTGCTTTCGACGAGTACGTTCGTCGTAACACGGAATTTTACCATTTCTTCGCGATTAGTATACTCGGATAACTGGTCAAGGAGGATGCATACTTTAATATTCTTGATTGAAATATGTATATAAAAGTCGTAAAAGTTGTATTTTACACATCGAGTGCTGTCTCACATGGACAACACCAATTTTTAACTAGGTTTTGAAATTCATTTTCATCGTAATATATTGAATAAACCGAATTTGACTAGAATTCGTGGAATGTGACAGAGTTAAACTAATACTTCCAATGGTAAATTTCAACTTCTCAGTTTCGGTTTCATTAATTAAATGACTTCCATATTGCGAGAATTTTTCGAGTTGATATTCAACGCGTTGAATCAGATGCGAAGAAAATCAAACATATACAGTATAATTACAATTACAGATTGAAACAGCTAGTCATTTAGTTATCAGTTATTTATATAGATCAATTTTTTAAGAAAATCAATCATATACAGTATAATTACAATAACTACAGATTGCAACAGCTAATCATTTAGTTATCAGTTATTTATATAGATCAATTTTTTAAGAAAATCAATCATATACAGTATAATTACAATAACTACAGATTGCAACAGCTAATCATTTAGTTATCAGTTATTTATATAGATCAATTTTTTAAGAAAATCAATCATATACAGTATAATTACAATAACTACAGATTGCAACAGCTAATCATTTAGTTATCAGTTATTTATATAGCTCGAATTATTTATATATATGCTATATATTATTTATATAGCACAGCTCGAAAATCTATGCGAGATACAATCGATACGATCCGAATTAGATCTAGCCGTTGCGGCCATGAGAAACCGTCGAAATCGTTCAGGAGTTAGAGATTGAAAAATAAAAACGTTAAAACAGATCATTTCCGAGCGATCAGGGATTTCCAAACGAGATAAACGAGAGAGACGTCTCAAGGTGACAGCGGAGGCGGGCCCCGTTTCCACGGCGAAACAGATTCTCGGCGCGGCTTCCTAATTTTAGAAATCGCAACCGCGTCCCGCAATTCGCGCAATGGTAATTCGCCAGCCGGCAATCGATATCTCGAGCAGTTCAGGCTCGCTTTTCTATGGGCGCCGCGCTATTCACGGCCGCGAGAGATACGCGGGGATTCCGCGTGCGTTTGAATACGCGCGATCAATAGCCGGCTACGTTTGAATAATGCCGGCACGATTTAACTCTTTATCGTTATTTTTTCCCCGGCCGCTCTTTCGGGGATTTAATAAAACACCGCGATGCTGCCCTTAACTGTCCGCTTTTTTTAATTTTTTTGTTTTTCACGTGGAAGGTCCCAGTTATTCGGCGGGAACGAATTTCGTGCGATCGCTATCCCGCTCGAGGGCCTTCACAAATTTATTCTCCCCCTCCCCTCCGACCCCGACGAACATTTCTTAAACACGCCAGGAATTCTGATGAAATCCCGGATTCGCCGAATTTCGAAACCGATATCGGATCCTTCGAATAACTCGAATTAATTGACTGCGAATTTTCGTGGGAAATTGTTAGAAAGGAATTCAGGAAAGAGTTGAATTGAAATGTGCTTTATTTTTTTATCTAACGATTGCGACGATTTGGGGCTAACGTGACCGGTATCTGCTTGAATTGTTTAAACGTTTTTCTTGCTCAGCGTAGACGCGGAATCTACGGTCTGGACAAATGAAGCAATTTTAACCATTTGCGCTCGTGTGGCGACTCTTGAGGCGTCATACAAAATTATTGTACCACGTTTCAAAATAATTTCAACGTCATCGAATGTGTTTATATTTTTTTAAAAACTGTGCGAAGTGCAACTGTTCCTTGAGTCACAAGATTCACTGTCGTGTGCATGATATATAGTAAGTTATTTGATATGGAAATGCTATAGGTCAGAGAAACTATCTTAGATTTCGAGTTGAAATAGCTTCGAGTGCGAAGGGTTAACCCTTTTAGAGCCCCACAACGATATATCGTTGTTGTCTACACTCGAGAAATTGACGGTTTCGTAATATTTCTAATGAATAATATTTCATTACTTGTCATTTCTTATTTCCTCTTCTGTATCAAATTTTGTAATTACCAGATTTGACAAGATTTTTGTACCTTTTTTCTGAAACTTCATCAAACTACTCAGGTTACATAGTACCCTTTTGATTGGCAATAAGAGAGTCAAACTAATATTTGTATGACTCGTTAAAGAATAATTGTTTATATTCTCCTTCATTTGTTTCAAACTCTGCATCCAGTTTAACCCTATGTACTCAAAGCCATTTTAACTATACTATACTATAGTTAACTATACTATACTATACTATACTATATATTATATATAATATAATATATTATATATAATATAATATAATATAATATAATATAATATAATATAATATAATATAATATATATATAATATAATATAATATATAATATAAATCTAAAATAATTTTTCTGTCTTATAGCATATCCTTTTTGTACGACAAAGTGCACTTTATGCATACGAAATTGAGTTTTGCGACCGATATAACAGTTACACTTTTCATTTAGATTTCTAAATCTGAACTTTGATAATATAAAAATGATCCAGGAACGTGATACAACGATTTCAGCGGCGCCTCAGAGTCGCCACACGAGTGCAAAAGGGTTAAACACCGAAATTGCCAGAAAAATGCGCGCATCGAGATTCCTTGAGGAACGAATGAGAACCGGAGGATAGAGCTGACACGGGAAAAGAATGTTCGGAACAAGCTAAGCAGGAATGGGGTCCCATAGGACGCGAGCCTCGGAGGCTGTCAAACCCCGGATCCAATCTCGGTCGCCGTTAAGGATCAGCGTTTCGGGAATCTCGTTCTGTCCCTTTTGTTTAAGCCGAGAAACGCGGCCACCGCCGTCTCCTTTTCTTTTTCTCCTGGCGCGAGGCGAAGCACGGGAAAGAAAGCCGAGGAAAGAACGAAGAATCTTTTCACCTGATGAGCTTGGCACCAATTGCCTCCTTCGTTTCCTGCCTCTCATTGTCCGTCTGCAGCTGAAGGATGTTTCTGTTGATGAGCTCCTGCCTGTCGGGCCTGAGAGCGAGCTTCAGCGACAGCGACTCCTTGCGCGCAATCTTCGCTGCCAGCCGGTCTGCAATTTGAAAAACAATTAGCCCCCTAATTGCTTATGGCCGTTGCTGCTCGGCCGCGCGACCGGAACTGCCTCGCCTTCGACAACTTTTTCGCTGGCCGGACTTTCAACGGAGTTCCGATCGGACGGCCAACTTTTTCGTGCAGATATTTCTCGAGATTAATCGACGAAAAGGGGGGAGGGACTCGGTCGAAGATATTAAGTCTGTCTTCAACTTCTCTCGGGCCGTTGTTTCGCCGTGGAAACGCTGGGAAAGTCGCTTTCGAGCGGGAAATATTTATTTTACGGAATTAAAACTGATTGCTCGGGGATCCCGAAGGTCTGGACGGCTCCGGGAATAATTTATGCGACAGTTTGAGCTTCTTAATTTCACGCTATCTGTACCGAGACTGTTTTCATTTAATTTATGTTAATGACGTCCGAGGGAATTAGAGCGCCGTTTATAGCCGAAGACTCGAACTCGTAAACGTTTCGCTTCTGCTTCGACGTCGCTCGATCCTCGATCGATCGATCGCGCACACTGCCACGAAATTGCCGATCCCCCGATATTCTGTTTGATCTGGACTCGTCCTTCTGACAAGAAATAATCAAAATCCCCGCGAATTTCATCGATTCGGATTGTCGTTCTCGCGCTGCTAGAGATGTTTATCGCGTCGCTCGCTCGAGTTTCGTTTAAAAATGACGGAATCTCTTACTTAAGATCTGCTGAGCTCTCAGATAAAAATTGCGAAAACGATGCCCCTCCAGGGTTTTATCGAGCCGGCTGCGGTCTCTGATCGAGCAACACAATTTGACTAGAGGATCGCACACGTTAATTACTATTTTCCGCGCTTTCCTCAAATACGAAGTCATCGTTGGCGAAACAGAGACGCGACTAGGCCGAGAAATATTATACAATCGTAATAGCGATCCCGAGAACGCAGCAGCACTAATTTGAGCAATTTACGGTTAGAGTGTTAGCGATGACAGGTGCTAACATGTTTGACGTTCGAGTGACGAAAGGAAATTTTTTCGGCGGATACCACTTATTTAGGCCAAACGCGGCGCGGTCGATGAGTGTGACGACTGGACAACAGATTTGATGCGTTTATACGAGAAACGAGTGAAATATGGAACAATGGAAACAGTTGAAGAATTTCATAACACTGTTTTATTGTTTCCAATTTGTTAGACCAATTGCCAGAGCAACGACATTTTTATTCGACCGTGGTTTATCGCAGACAATTTTTATTTTGCATAAAGATCCGCTGTCCAATCATGACACTCGAAAAATTCTCAAAAGCCGCTGGATATTCCGGAAAATATACAATTAAATTATCATTTTATTTTTAATTATTCCCGATGAAGTTGGATCTTCCAATGTCATCTAGTGATAAAAACTTTTGACGTAGCAAGAGCGAAAAGCTTCCCCGAGACAACCAGCCGATTTCACGTAGTCGGCTGAACGACTCGCAGTATTTGACTATACCGGGAACACGGAGCTCCGCTTGTATTAAATAAAACATACATGCGTAAAGTGCACAGACGGAATGATTAAACAGCGTTTGCGCGTGGTGCAGTATTCATTTCTGTTAATATTATATTAACATTGCAACTGCCGTCAGAATTGCTGATGCCCAGGTCTTTAATATAGAATTACCGAATTTCATTTGACAATTTCTGATTTCTCAACGTCGTTATTTAATTCCTGTTTTGCTCAGATATTTCGCCGACGATCGGAGGTAACTGTACACATACGACAGCAAATCTCATCGAAATCTTTCTCGTTAGAATCTTTTTACGCCAAAAGATCGTTATCATGTGCGACCACGTAAATTCCACGAAGCATGATCCCGATGATCTACCGTATCGTAAAACTTTATCAACAAGAAAATCGACTTGACAAAAATTCGTGCAACTTGCTAACAGCATACTGCGAACCTATGCAAAGTTTCGAATTAGTTGGTCACACCTGTTCGTCGAGAACAAATGGAATATCTTTCGCCGAGAAACAGAAGAAACCGGCACAAGTCGCAGAAAACATTGCAGATTCAACATCGGCGTTTTTTACGAGCACGATAGAGCCGGCCAGATACTTATAACGACAAATTGAACAGTGTCACGAACAGAGGTTGCGGACGTCCTCGCAGGTGGACATGTCGATGGATCGGTGGATCCTCGCTCGATCGCGGCGCACGGCGACTGGGCGCCACCACCGGTGCGCGCCGACATGCACGCGTCGAACCATCGACTGGTCGAACACTAAAGGCTATTATCGACGTGGCCACGCAATAATCTTTCGTCGAACCGTTTTATTCTATTTCGAGCGCGATTTACCGTCGACGAGTGAGGAGCAGCTGACGCTGCGGCGCAGCGGCGACGGCTCGGCTTTGTACGGTTCGATCGATGCGCAGGCGATCGACAGGGTCGACACGGTCCAGATCGACAGCATCGTGGCATCGTTCTTGTCGTCTTTCGAACGAAAAGTCACCTAATCCTCCGCGGACAGCTCCTCGCCGATCCTACGCCGCGAAAACTGCCTGGATCGTCCGCGGACGCGCTTCGAATTGCTCCGAGAATGTCTCCGCCGCCGTTCGAGCTTGATCCCTCGATCGCCGATAAACATCGGCGAGGATTCGAACGGAATCCGTGAACACTGTTACAGCACCGATGATTTCGTATGCGAGGAGAATTCGAACGCCTCTTTCTCTCGTTCGGGTTTAGGGGTGGCTGCTGGCTGTTTTTTTCCCCGATTAGATCGAGGATCGCGCGTCGGATCGGGACGGTTCGCGGAAAACCGTGGCAAAACAACGGCCAGAGACACACTGAGCTACGCGCCAGCTATCTTCGGGGATTAATATAACCTTCGGGCCGTGTGCGTGATCGCGCGACCGTGTGCGTGACCGTGTGTATCGCGCGCGAGTATAATTAGTACGGGCCGCGAAAGCCGATTCTAAGGTCTTCGGCGAATCGGACGTGATTTGCCAAAGCCTACGCGGATCTGTCCCTTCGAATCTCGTCGAAATTGCTGCGGGATCCCCGTGCTGAATCGCGCGGAGCCGATGGCCGGATACACTTGTCGTTTGTTATTCGATTACTTTCGTTCTCGGGTTAACACGTTCCGTGCCGAGCTTTTTTTACTCGAATCTTCACACTTTGATATTTTACTAAAACTTGATGTATTACGTGCAATTATTAATTCTCGAACACATAACAACGTAACAAAAACTTATCAACGCCCATTCTTGCGGTGGAAATTGATTCTTCGGTTCTAAATTTCTTGTAAACAATTTGTTCAGTTCACTAAGTAAACATGCAAGCGTGTACCATCGATGGTACACGTGGCACGGAACGTGTTAATAATTCTGTTTCGAAACGTTAAGTCTCGCGCAGGGGAATTATTAATTGGATGAAATTGGGAGATCGCGATTAGGGCCACCGAGAATTTTCTAATTTTTCAATACTTTTAATGAAATTACAAGACAACAGTGAACTTTGATAGAATGTTTATCAAGTAATAATGTTATTTAGTTTAGTTATAAAGAGTACGTAAGTTATGATTCGCCATAGTCGCTCATTTTTTAGAGAAATGTATAAAATCCGCTGTTTAACACTAAACCTACCGAACGCTAAAAGCGACTGACGCGTGTTGTTTTATAAGAGTTACAAGACTGAATTTATTTAGACATGTTACCATGTTTATAATAATGTATGTTTGAATGAAGAAATTTATTCGATCATTTCCTACGAAAGTGGCTCTAGAATACTAAAAATGTATAAATAAAAAATGTGGTGTACCGACCATTTTGACCGCCATGGTAGGTTTAGTGTTAATCAGCCGAATACGATCATTTTAAACTCGATCACGTTCATTTACACGCATTAAGAATCGATAACAGCGATTTCCTCATTGTGCACAGTGTGCTATCGAATTTAATATTAACGTTAATATGAATATTAACAATATTAACCCTTTGCACTCGAGGGCTCCGGAGCGGAGCCATTTAAAATTTGTCTTCAAACTCGAGGGCTCCGCTACGGAGACAATGCAAATAATTTTCAGTTTTTAACATAAGAACAAAAACAAATCGTAAAAATTAGTTACAGGATGTTTCGCTGTTGGTGACAAATGACGTTTGTATCCATAAACAATTAAAAAAATAATAACATACAACGATGACTTTTCTTTTAATGCTTATATCATGAACTTACATGTGAATATGATCTTTTCACTAAAATGGCTTCGAGTTGCTGGTAATATGACTAAAAAAAAACTTCGAGTGCAAAGGGTTAATATCGGAGCAAAGGGGTTCACGTTAAAGGCTCTAGACACGGATACTCACTCTTCTCGTCTTCGTACTCTTCCCTGTAAAGTACCTGTCCATCGCCAGGGTCCCCGTCGACGTCCTCCCTTATCACGTACGGCCTCGCGTTCTCCTTGTTCTCCAAAGTGCACGGCAGGGTGAGGCCAAATCTGACCGGTCGACTACTGAAATGATCGTCGAAGAAAAATGTCAGACGCTCGCTCTTTGTCTGCGTGATAGTTGGATCGATGGGAGAATCGATACAGAGGACGTTCCACTATTTTTCGAAGGACACCCCTTCCCCTACCCATGGCGAAACAAATGTCAGAAAAATAGCTCCGATATCGTTCCAGGAAATTTTGAAATGAAACATCTTGCATCAACCATCTCATATTAACCCTAGAAAGATAACCATATGACAACGTACGTAAAAGATAACCATACGCTTCAGAGGCGCATGCTTTTCTAAGGCGTCAATTTTATACTAACAATGGATATTTATTTAAGTTAATCTAGTCATTTTAAAGGTTTGGCATTATTGTCAAAATAAAATGCATTTATATTATATTTTTTTATATTTTAAGTAATTTTAAACTTAAATCACTAGACCTCTATGAAAAATTAACAAAAATCAACAGTCTTCGCAGGCGCCTCTGCGACGTAGGTTATCTTTCTCGGGTTAAAATTACAAATTATATTACATTATTAGTGTTAAAATTGACAAGTGTTGACAACGATAATAATTAACATTCCTTATTAGTACTGTATTTGTTGTGTACGATGATCATTGGACTTCAGGCAAAAAGGACCTCGTTGTAATTTCTGCAGAGAATTGTTTCAACCTTGAAATCTCTCGTCAAAGTGAAGCATATATCCAAATTCATTCGATCGATGATCAAATAACGAAGCAGTGAATTTATTAACAATGAATAATCGAATAATAAATAATTTCGATCGTAATTGAGAAATATGTGCAGCTTCTAGAAGCTGTTTTGAAATAGGCTGGAATTTCCTTGGAAATTCTTGAACATTTTTGAATTTCCTTGTATCAAGTAATTTCGAGACCGAACAAAATGGTGGATCAAAATCAGATACAAAGAGACTCGATACAAAAATTGTGTAACACAAAATCGGCAGTCCAATAATCAGTTTCCCGCGAAGCCTACAATTTAAACAAATTCCGAAATGATCATATTCCACTGAACAGAGTAGACTGAACGGTTTAGAGGGTACAAGAGGGTGGCGAAGGGGTTAGTTACCCCCGACTCGATTCTCCAGGTCGATCCAACCGCAGCCAGTCGGCGCTACGCGAACCAATGTTCTACTCTACGACGTTTCAAGTACGAGATGCATATGGAGGGGATGAAACAACGCCAGTGACAAAGAGAGAGAGAGAGAGAGAGAGAGAGAGAGAGAGAGAGAGAGAAGAGAGAGAGAGGGGGTGGGGGGATGGAGAATGCACGGTGTGACGTTGATGAAGATAACAGAAGCAACTTGCGGGGCTCTGAAACGGACTCCGACGTCGTTCCGAATTGGGTTATCAACGACGTCGACGCAGATAACTGTTCCCTTCGCGACGTGAAGCCTCTTCCCTCCCCTCTATACCCCTCTTTTTTTTATCTCATTTCACCCCCGTGTTCACAATTTGTCGGGGGATCGCTTTGATAATACGTGCCGCGGAAAAAGAAACCGTTTCCGTTTCCCCTTGTTCGCTCCAATTTCCGTTTCCGCGTGCGGAAAATTAAAACCAACGTTAAGCGGACCCTTCCAGGTGCTATGGGTGAGTTACGGGGGCTGGATTAGCGTACAACAAGGGTAGACGACGGGCAAACTTTGTCGTCCTGCGGATGGAGAAGAGAAATAAAACGAACGGATTGAATTTCGCGGAATAAATACGACGGAAACGTGAGAGATGTAGGATGAAATCCCTACAATGTAGGGTGAAATCCTGTAACCTTGACGTAACCTAGTAGATAGACAAATTGAAATTTAATTGATAATTATAAAAAAGACTAGATCTTTAATCTATATTCTTTTGATTTTATTTGAAAGAAAAAACATTTTCTAGTCGATAAAATATTTAATTTAATGAATTTTTGTTCCGGAGAGTTCGTTTTTTGGTTATTTAATAAGTACCTAATCGGCACTGCTTAACGTACATGTTATTTTTTTCATGTAAAAGAAGTCAATTTTCACATAAAAAAGCACGTAACATGTAATTTTATTAGTAAATGACAATGTTTCCGTAGCTAAGTATAGCTAAGTATATGGCCGATACAAAAGAAAGTTATAAAACCTAGAAAAACAACTGTCCATTTATTGAGCAGTTTATCCTAGAACGCGCAAAGTTTGCCGATCGTGAAACTCCTTGCAGATCGGTGACAGGTGAACAATTTGATTAAGGGAGAATATCGGAGGATGAAGGTGTCTTCGATAAATCTCTCGTTTCTCGTACTGTCTCTAGAATATTAAGGGTTGAAACACACAAAAGCGATTATCACAAACCGTAAAAGACCAAGACACAATAATAAACAACAATATGTGTATATATATAGATATATAAATATATATATATGCAGGGTGTCCCAAAATTATGGTACTTTCGAGAATTGAAAGGTTCCTGAGGACATTTGAAGTAACTTTTTCCTTTACAAAAATTCTCTTCGAGGCTTCTTTTACGAGTTATTAGCGAAAAATCTCGACCAATAAGACGCGAGTTCAGCTGGCGCGAGGCGACTGTACTGGGCGCTCCGTCCGCCCGTTGGCTCGGCCGCCACGCGCCAACTGATCTCGCCCTCTCATTGGTCAACGTTTTTCGCTAATAACTCGCAAACGAAGCCGCGGATTGCATTTCCGCTAAGGAAAAAGTTACTTCAAACGACCTCAGGAATCCCTCACTTCCCGAAAATACCATATTTTTGGGACGCCCTGTATAATAACAGTACAATAGGGCTTACGAGTACAGTAAATCCTCCCTAATTGACGCTTAGACTGTACATAAAAATAGACAACTTCGGCAGAAAAGATACGATCATTTGAGCCTTGCAGTTCGATTGTCAACAACTATAAAAACGTGCCGCAACGCTCGGATAATCGCATCTGGTATTCCCAAATTGTCCACTTTTGTGCACAATCTGAGCGTCGATTAGGGCGAACTTACCGTATTGCGATAACGGAAAGTTGGTACCAAAACACCTCGTGCAGAAATGTACAAGTGAGATTATTAGAATAATCTGAGTGTTTCACAGTCTCGCATTCCGTGGAAGAGAAACTCGTAACCAAAGCGCTCGCTCCGTTTCGATCCGCGCCGCGCGACCGAGCGCGGACCAAGTGACAGGGAAGAGAAAAATAGTATGCGCCAGGATCGTCGAGCCGACGTTCCCCGGGTGACGAAGCCAGCTTCGCCCGCGAAGCTCGTTTCGTCGCCAGCCGTGGCGAGGGCTCGGAGAAACCTCGTTTTCGTCGATCGATGGTTCGAGGCTCTCACGCGTGAAAGATCAATGGCACGTGTGAAGCGTAGGCGACAGTATACAATGGGTTTCCCTACGGTTTTCTCATGCTTAAGGGCGCAAGTTTACCATGCTCACGGCGCTCGTCACGCTGGCACACACAGAGAGAAAATAGAAAACGGGATTCCGGCGACTGCCGATGATGGATTAGCGGTCGATTCGGGCATGCTCGGACCAATTCGGGAAGCTGATATCGTCGATAACAATTGGTACGATGAATTGTTTCGAGAATAAAAATCGTTCACACCGTCGCAAAAAAGCGAGGCACCTGAGAAGATTCGGCATCGACTCAGCTGGACTTGCGTTTGATTCGAGTTCGACAGATCTTTTTTTATAAAAAGCTCTGCAGTCGTGTTTCACATTAAAATTTAAAGCAAGTATCATTCGATAAAAGTGCGATGTTTTGTGTGATTGTTGAAAGAATAAAGAAGCTACTTCTGTATACGAGTGTTATCCGTTCTTTTCATACTGTCAGCCGATTATGTCAGTAGCGTTTATCGTTTAAAATGGCACTAATTTAATAAATGTTAATGTTAATAAGAAATTTTGTTAATAAATGTTAATGTTAATAAGAAATTTGGTTAATAAATGTTAATTTTAATAAATGTTACATACACGTGTGACGATAATCTGCGACGTGCAAGAAATATTCGAACAGTAATTTGTATCTAAACGATCTCCACGCACCGTTGACAAAAAGACGTCACAGTACAATAAATTCTCCCTAATTCGCGCTCAGATTGTGCACAAAAATGGACAATTTCAGAAGAGCAATGATCGTATCTTCTCCTCTCAAATTGTCCATTCCACAATCTGAACGCGAATTAGAGAGAATTTACCGAAATTCGCAACGCTGGAACGAACTTTCCGATTTCCCTCGTATCCTATTCCAAAGAAAATGAATAAAGATCGACTGCCAAAAGTCGGGGGAAAGGTAACAAATTTCAACGGTTGTTTGCCGCTGAAAGACAATCGTGCGAGTTTCTGCAGCTGCCGTCGATCCACCGCGTACGGGACCGTCCGCTGTCGCTGTACAACATCGAATCTCGAGCAACTTGAAATTATAGTAAAAGTTTGGAATTTCTCCTGAGAACAAGCCGGGCTTCCCGGTAAGTTCGAGCGTTCCTCGAAATGATTCGAACTTTTCGCGATAGTAAGTTGGAGCATGTCCGAGCATGATTGGCCGCTGATCCATCGGTATGGTAACAGGATGGAGAATGATAGGGATAGGAGAGACAGAGAGACTAAAGAGCATTGTCTCGTTCTCTGCGATCAACCGCCGTGGATAAAGACAAATATTTATACAAATATATAAATATGTATATAGAGATATATATATAGATAATATGCATTGTATATATATGCACGTATGCGTGTATATATACATGTATAGTTAATACACGTGTACCGTGTATCGGTTCGTGCATGCTTAGTTAGACCAATGCCCAATTACCATATTCGCATCCTAGGCCTCAACGGCCTTCTGTGGTTAAGCATAAGAAAAATACGACACTTTACTCGTGACTGATACATGATACGTGATGATAGTAAATACAGGATTTACGCGAAGCATCGTTCTCGATCCCTTCGATATCCGATCCGGATCGATCAGTCCCGTTTCCGTCATTGCAATCAACGAATAATGCCTTAGAAGAATCAATTGTTTTCCCTCGCGAATAGAAGCATTTTATTCGCGAATCGATTACTCGCGAATGTGCTATTCGCAAATAAATGATTCGCGAAGGAATCATTCTGCAAACGAATAATTCAATTATTATATTAATATATATATATATATATATATATATATATATATATATATATATATATTAATATATATTATTATAAGTATATAAATATATATAATATATAATATATATATATTAATATATATTATTATAAGTATATAAATATATATGATATATAATATATATATATATATTAATATATATTATTATTATTTATTATAATTTATTTTAATTTTAAAAACATTCTCGAATAATTTATTCACGAATAAGCAACTTGTTCGCGAGAAGAATGATTCCATTACAATCTCTAAAACGTATTATTCCAAACGATCATTTCTAAAATTACTATTTCTAAAGTTTATTATTCGCTCGAACAATCGTCTGGATAAAAAGTTATTCGAATAATGCCCGGACTCAGTCTGGCACGTTGATCGAATAATTCGCAAATGATCGCGAATGCAGGTGAGTAGGAATGATCGAGCGGAACTCAAGAAAAAGAGAGAGAGAGAGAGAGAAAGAGAAATATTAATGCGGGGACGCGTGAAAAGAAATGACGAGGCTAGAAGGTGAAGAACGATGTTCCGGACACGAGCCTCCTCATGGTTCCGAGGCATCTTGATTAAAGCCGCGGTAATTAAACCGGCCGCGTCGCCGGTCGGACGTTCCTTTCACGTCCGCGAGGCCGAGGGACGTTTAATTTGCGAAAGCCAAACAAACGAGCCGCGGACTATCGCGTCTCTCGCCTTCGAACCTTGAAGAAGGCGCGGTCGTGTACACGCGTTCGATGAAGAAAAGAAGACTCGTTGACGAATGGAGCGTACACGAAATCGGGCGAGACTTCGCTGGCATTTGAAGCTCGCGATCGGTCACCGAGTCTTTCGAGAATGGAGGAGATCATCGGGATTGAGCCGAGAAACGATTCGGGACGGTGTTTTCCACTAACTTGAACGAGGCGTGCAGCTCCTGGCGAAGCGTCAACGGCCTGTTCTCCTGCGTAGGAGTGTTCTGCGGCGTCCCCGGCCCGCTTCCGGAACTCCTCTTCTTCAGCACGCTCTTCAGGGGCACCGCGTGAAACTTAGGCTCCTTCGCGGGGATCTCCTCGACCCGCGACGTGTCGATCGCCGGATCCGGCTGGGACATTCTGAACACGAACATGTTGTCCTCCTCCTCGACGTCAAAGTCCTCTTCGTCCTCTGCAATCAGGGAACAGTATTGCGTTAGCTTTCTCAGCTCTGAATGCGTTCTTCTCTTTAACAACGGTTTTGCACAGGGTTATGTCAAGGTTATTTCTCAAAATTATGGTACTTCCTGGAAATGGGGGGTTCCTGAGATCATTTGAAGCAACTTCTTCATTTACAAAAATGTTCTCCGAGGCATCGTTAACGAGTTATTAACGAAAAACACTCACCAATGAGAGGTGAGCTCGGCTGGCGCGAGGCGGCCGAGCCAAGGAGTGGACGAAGCACAGTTGCGCTCATTGGTTCCGCCCAGAACTTCTCATTGGTCACTGTTTTTCGTTAATAACTCGTAAACGAAGCCGCGGATTGCATTTGCGCTAAGGAAAAAGTTGCTGCAAATGGCCTCAGGAACTCGTTATTTCCCGGAAATACCGCCATTTTAGGACACCCTGTATAATGTGTGTTGTGTTTTCTAAATTAGAGTAGTTGCGAAATCGTCACTAAACTGCGGATCTTTATGCAAGATGAAAACGGCTTGCGTCGACTGCAAGATCAATGAGCCAAGTATAATTTTCTGTCCTTTTTTAATCATTTTAATAAGCTGAAATTAGTACACAAACATTTTTAATTCCTTTCGATCTTCTCGCAGTTTTCAGCTTCATTCTTGCCATAAATGCATAAAATCCGCGGTCTAATCGTCACAGTTATCCTTCGTTTCAATAAACAGTACAACGTTAAAAACAATTACTAAAATTCATCCGCTCTATTTCGAAGCAAAATGAGAAATTCAAGAGTTTCTCCAACTTCGATCTCGAAATCTACACAAACGATTTCGATGTAGAATGATTCAATAGACATTGCCGAATGCGACGGAATATTTGGTCTAAAATTACGAACATTGAAACTTGTTTAAACAATATCCGAAGAGAGCAAGCTTCGACCTCCGAAAAATCTCGAAAAATCTAGCTTCCACAAAAAATTCTTCAAACACGTTCAAATGTTCGTGATGCTCCAAAAAATGATACCATCGTGTCCGCGAAAGTCTGCGGAATCGTTCTACGTAAAAATCGTTCCCGCAGCTTCCGCGAACAAGCCGGAAAATATGTTTCGAAGTTGAAAATTCGACTATCCGCTGAGAATTGAATTTCTTACGAAACGGCGAAGACGACGTAGAAGAATACCGAAAGATTGTTCGGTCCCGGATACAAGAAACAGGGCCGGAATGTTTCTAAGAATGATAATTCATCCGCGATGAATTGAAGAAGTTTATAACAGTGAACGTTATTTGCGGCGCCGTTTCAATGTACGCAAGTTTCCGTGAAACAATGCAACGAAACAATGCGGCCGCCGCAATTTGTGGAAGACTAAACTTCGCGAGCCAGACAGAAGGACAATAGAAGACAGACAACGCGCACGCGGCTCGTATAGCGATGCGACGGAGTCACGCATATCCTGAAATCGGCTATTTATTTCCAGCCTAATAGAATAGACGAAATATATGTATATATATCGTAAAACGCAATAGCTCGAACATGAGGAGAACATCGGTGAACGCGTGCACGGGACACGTTGGCATTGCATTTTATGCTGGTATACGGGCAACGTTTTACAGGATTACGTCCACGGAATACGAAGAATATAATAGCGAGTGTGGAACACGGGCAACGTATTCGAGACTAGCGCCGTAGAATACGAGGATTATATTGTAGTCTACGAGAGTAGAATACCGGGATCATTATTGTACTCTACTACGGTAGAATATGAACAGAAGTAATACAATATATGTACAGAGAGCGAGACCCGTAACAGGAGCCGTCGGAATAATTTCTGTAGTTTTGGAGAAATGTTTCGTGCGAAAGCCGTCTCGGAAACGGAAACGTGACATCTCGAACTTTCCGTTTCCGTTCGTAGCCTAACGTTTACGAATAAACGACGACGAATTCTAGATTTCGTTTCGTTGCGTTTCACGCGATTCGAACGGGCCGGGTGAAACAAATTTCGACGAACATTGCCGCGAATGCATGTGTTGGACACGATCAAAATATTTATTTAAAATATTTCTGAAATCGTTAATGAGCGCAATTGTCATTTTTGTATTTGCTTTATGCTATATTAGAGGACGCTATAATAATTAGCTTTATGCTATATTATGATATTTTACAGTATCGTGCGGTCCACGCTTTTAACCCCTTAACTTGTACGCTCGAGTTAATTCGAGCGCGCTAAATAGGCCAAACTGTGCACACTCGAGATAATTCGAGCGGCGTTGTATTTTATGCTGCTATAGTTTTTGACGCTCGAATATAATCGAGAATTGAAAATAACAATGTGAAAGCGAAAAAGAAAATCGTTTTATTGACATTTATCATTTACATGGGATTGTAAGCTATATTTATTCAAGAATAAAATATAGCCTTTTTCCATGGAACAAAAGCGCAGTATATCAAAATTCTCCACTAAAAATTGACTCTTTTTGGCCGGTTCTTTTTTTAAAACTGTGCGTTAAAGGGTTAATCTGTGCAGTCTCGATCTGACGCTGAACTTTTAATTACTTAAAGGGCACAAATAATTAAATCGCTCAATTTAATGATACCAGATGCTACTGAATACACATCCGAAACAGAATTTGTCGGCGTACATCGCTTGATAGCATTAGTTAATATTGCATATCATTTATTCATTAAAGAAGCTCCACGTACAGTAAATTCTTCCTAATTGGCGCTGAGATTGTACAAAAAAATGGACAATTTGGGAAGAGGAGATACGATCATTCCAAATTGCCCATTCTAATTGGCGCTCAGATTGTACAAAAAAAATGGACAGTATGGGAAGAGGAGATACGATTATTCCAAATTGCCCATTCTTGTGCACAATCTGAGCGTCAATTAGGGAGAATTTACTATACTTACGAACAACGATGTACGCAACGGTATTCTCGAAGAGGTTGCCAGCGCGATTCTAGAAGAGATTGAACGTAAATATGACGGCGTACCTTCGTCCTCGTAATCCGACGTGTTCCGAATGTACCGTTGTTTGGCCAACAATAGAGTGGGACTCGAAGAACTGAACATCGGCGGAGGCGGAATCGGCCCGATTTCGCTCAACGGAATCGGCGGTTCCGGGAGCTCCGACAGCATCAACGGGTTCTGAGGCGGAAGAGGGTAACACCTCTCGATCACCTGCTGGCTCTCGCTGCTTTGGTCTAGGACCCCCTTCTCCACTGCAAACAAAACAAAAACGCAGACGTTAGCATCTCTCTCCGTTCCGCCGAAATAATCCGTCAGCGTATGCATCGCAACGTATACAATTGTATCTGTTCTATTTCGATTCTGTGTGCACAGAACTGATCGCAGGAATTTCGCGGGATCCGATCGCGAACACGAACAATCGCATTTATTGACGGTTCACTTGGAAGACGTGCTTACGCGAACACAAGGAGTCTTCTGTTAACAGACACGCAACATTCCGCGTGCAATAGTGCGTCTTCAGCTGAATCTAATATTCAACGAAGATGTGGAGTGCACCAGAAATTACTAAAGCAGCGATTTTAACAAATGCATATCTAATAAGTGCATATTTAATAACGCACATGTTGACTATGACAAGCCGCGTTACCGCTACGACGGCTGACGAGATTCTGACGGAGAGCCTTCGTCGGTCCGTCGAGTCGCGGAGGTGAGAAACCCCTCCTCCAAAATTTGTAAAACAGCGGCGCGCTGGGCCTTACCGATGAAATCACAGTTTGACGCGGCGATGACGCCGAAAACGGTGACGCTGCTGTGCCCCATGTAATTCGGGAAATATAAACAATCGAGCCGCCCACTCGCGGCGCTCTGTGTAGGCCTAGGCCACAAGTGCCATTGATAGCGGTTCGGTTAGGCGGACTTTTCAAGGAAAGCTAGACGATACTTCTGAGTCGTAAACTAATAAATCTGTCGAATGGGCAGTTGATCGACTCCCAAAAATGATATCGTTCGAATCGGACGCAGCCTAAAACCGAAACAGTAAGACGAAACGTGTGCGACCCTACGCGGTGTTCGGAAAATCGTGACGCAATCGATAAGATAGTGATTCCTCGCACAAAGCCGAGTTAAAAATATCGAATAAAATTGTTCCATTTGCTTCATTTTTTGCTTCATTCTCGCGGAAATTGAGTTCGATCGCTTCCGTTCGGTTTGGGACAAACGGATGAAACGAAGTGGGATTTTTTATTTACATTGAAATTTATCGCGGTACAGCATGATTATAAATATTTTATATAAATATAGAGTATACAAAAACTATATGTGTGAACAAATTATTGAGTCATTGTCGATTTTCAGTAGACGAATCTTTGAACGAGTGAATCTTCGAAACCTGAAACTTCGTTTGAAGCTCTTAGAATTTCGAAATATTTCGTGAAATGACTTCGAAAACCGCAACTTGCAAAAGAAAAAATTCAATATGATCTTAAAACATACTGTTCTACGAATACATACGCAATAAAAATCCCAGGATTTTGAAGGGCGCTTTTTAAAAATTATATCCAAGGGTTAAGAAAACGAATGAAGTTCAATTGTCCAATTTCGAGAAAATCGAGTTCGAAAATTCGTTGGATACGCGTGCACTTGGATACAATGGAGGCACTCAGATACTTTAAGCACTTTAAACTGTGTTTAACACGTTCCGTGCCGAGCTTTTTTTACTCGAATCTTCACATTTTGATATTTTACTAAAACTTGATGTATTACGTGCAATTATTAATTCTCGTACACATAACAACGTAACAAAAACTTATCAACGCCCATTCCTGCGGTGGAAATTGATTCTTCGGTTCTAAATTTCTTGTAAACAATTTGTTCAGTTCGCTAAGTAAACATGCAAGCGTGTACCATCGATGGTACACGTGGCACGGAACGTGTTAAGCGCACGCGTACCCAACGAATTCTCGAGGATTCGATTTTCCCGGAAATGAAGCCCTGCGCGAAACAACTTTGTTCTACGTTTTCGGATCGAATTTTTACGCGAGGAATCGCTCCCTCGCACCAAGATTTTCTGACCACCCTGTATACGTGTCGCGACTTCCTCGTTCCTTAGCCACGTTCCGATGCCAAAGCGAGTTGGCAATTGGCTTCTTAATTGGCTTGCTCCTTTGAACGAAGATTAGCGACATTGTATCGTCGGACAATTTTCCGCCGTGTCTTTAGAAGACTTTCAGCACATATTTGCGCTACGGATTAAACGATGGAAAAAAACGTGGTGTGCGCCCCTCTTTCGAAGAGGGACGCGCTGAATTAAGAAAATAAAATGAAAGGAGTCGAGAGATATAAGCCATTTCCTTGGCAACCCTTTCGAAGATACATTTGCGCCGCAAAATATCATGACGGCGTATTATCGAAGCACCGTAAAAAGCGACGCTTTCGTCAAGAGAGTAAGATACATACAAGAAAACAGGATATTCTACCCCTTTTACATCTCTTTCAAAAATATGTTCCTGGCACAAGATCATAAATGGGACAATCGCACGCTGTCGAGACACTTCGAAAAGCGATGTTTCGGGTTGGGAAAATAAAGTACAGACAGGATATTCTATCTTCTTTACAACCCTTTCGAAAATGTCTTCGACACGGCGACACAAATAATAGGTCGACTCGTAAATAACTTCTGTTTCTTCATCAGACATTTGTCTTGGTTTTTACTTAATTCTATTCTTTCTTATTTTATTTTATTTATTTGGAATCT